TGTGCTTCTAATACTGTGGTGCTTTCTCTCCTCCTTTATAGTTAGGGGTCTGAACATTCTATAATGTTCAATTTGATTGCAACTGTGCCACATTGCCAATAGACAGTCTCAATCCTCCAAATATCAAGCTATGGTGTTTTCCTCGGGCTCCAGAACATGCCTTGTTTGTAATGTGGTGGGAGGTGCTTATTTGTCTCTCTTTTTTCCTCTTAGACCAATTTGCAATTTTACCTTTTCCTTCTCACTGGCACAAGCATTTCAAATTTTTTTACGACAAAAATGCACTATTTTTTAACTTAATGGCGACTAGCTTTACCATTCTATTTTTAAGAATATTCTTGTATTCAAAGACGTGCTCTACTACCTAGAGACACTTGATAAATTTGCCTAAATTCGTGCAATCATCAAAATCTGACAAGTCAATCTTCACTCTAAAATTCTGACTTTTCCTTTGACATGTTATGCCAAATCATTGAGATAATGGTTTTTCGTCACTGAATAATTACTTGGTCAAAGAGATTCATTTTTTCCTCTCTATTTGATGATTCACTTTTGCGGCTATGGATGATCTTATTAGATTATCTCATCTCAAATATGACAAGTCTCTATTGCAGTTACAAGATTTTTTGGTGCATGTCCTCTATAGTGAGCTCTTGAACATCTCGTTGAGGGTTTCTTCTTAGCGGCATGATATCCTGTTCTACCAATGAAAGTTTTGATGCAAAAGGAAGCTTTTTAAGGGTCAAGGTTAGGGCTAGGTTGACTGAGGAGCTTGAATTGCAGTATCGTAGCAACTACAGTACCACAGAGCCATTTTTCCGTATTTGTTTCCTTACCCTTTCTATCATTTTCCTTGCTCACCTCCCTTTCCTATTATATTACCTTCCTTTTTATTATCTTTCTTTTCTCATGAATTTTTATTCATATGTACTAGCTTTTATCACATATATGTGTTGTGTGCTCATTTAGAATGAAGATTTTGATGGTTTTTTATTTCAACTTGTGACCTCTAAGGCTTTTTCCCCTTCTTGAGGGTTGTATCTGACAACGAAAAGGTGCTCCGGTTATAACTTGTTTGAAGTGGTGATTATCTCAGCCTCTCTCCCACTTTTGCGGTCATTGTCCACCCTCAGGTTGCTGTCCAGGCCTCTGTTATCTTCCAGTCGCTATCCACCCTTGACGTTGTTGTCGAAATTGTCGTTGCCATCTTCCGGTTGTTGTCCACCCTTCAAGTAGCTTTATTGACCTCCATCGTCATCTTCCGACCGTTGTACACCCTTTTAGTTGCTATCCACACCGACGTCATCATCTTCCGGTAGTTGTCTCCGACCGTTGTACACCCTTTTAGTTGCTATCCACATCGCCGTCATCATCTTCCGGTCGTTGTCCGCCCTTCAGGCGGATGTTTAGTTCGTCGTCATTCCTGTCGTAGCTCGTTGTCCCCCGCTCCTCTCAACAGGCCGCCGCCCATCCCCGCTCCTCTCAACAGGCCGTCGATCCTCCCTGCTCCTTCCAACAGATCACCAATCATCCTTGCTCTTCCTACAAGCCGCCGATTGCCCCTTGTTGTCCCTCCAACACTGTCGCCCGCTGCTGCCAACTACCTACCAGCCCTACAATAGCTTTCTTTCTACCATCTGGATTTGCTGCACTCCTCTAGAGAGAGTCGTTTATGTGTTTTGTGTTATTTCTTCCTTATTTTTGCAGAGGAGTCATGGTCCCTTGTTAGTTGCATCTTGAATTGTTTTATGGTTGTTGTAACCGTTTGAATTCAACAATAAATATTCGTTCGGTCGAAAAAAAATTTCCATACGAATTCCGGACACAGCTCTGTGTCCGGAATCTAATAAAAGCACGCAGTGTGTTTTGGCTGGACCCACCTAAAATAATGATGGAGAAGTGTTTTTTTTTCCTTGACCCGACTTGAACCAACACAATGCTTTGAAAAACACGCCATGTGTTTTTTTCAAAAACGGTGTTATTTGCATCGATTTGAGTGCTATTGCGGTGTTATTCACTTCTCTTCAGCAGTTTTATTTGAAGTATCCCGCGGTGTTATTCACGTGTTTTCGGGGGCGGTGTTATTTGCGTGGTTATGCGGTGTTATTCGTGTGCCTCTTCGGCAGCGTTGTTATACACATGTTATTTGTGGTATTATTACGATATTATTGTTGTTTTATTTGA